TGTGGATGGGGATGTATATTGATCGCTTCCAATCTGTTGGCCATCTATTTGTTTTCTATATCTGTTGACATATGTTGGTTAGCACTGGAATTGACTCTGTCAATGTAGATTGCAACAATTCTATTGGAATATCATCTGTTCCTGGAGTCTTTTTGCCATTTCCTATATTGCAGTTTCCACCTCAGTTTTTAGAATTTGGGGTTCATCTTCATCTGGCTCTTTGCTCCATGTGTCCTTCATATTGTCATCTCTTTTATATAATTCTTCTGTGTATTGCATCCATCGTCTTTTTATTCCTTCCTGGTCTTGAATTATGTTATTTTTATTATTGTAGAGCATCCTGGTTCTTGGTTTGAACTTTCCCTTGATTTCTCAAATCTTGTGAAATAGGTCTCTCATTTTTCCATTTTTGTTGTTGTCTTCTATTTCTCTACATTTGTTGTTGATAATTTTCCTTATCTTTGCGCACTAGCCATTGTACTCTTGTGTTCATGGTTCTTAGTTTATTCCTATCTCCTTTTTGTTTTGTTTCTCTTCTGTCCTTTATTGCTTGTAGCGTTTTATCTGTCATCCATGGTTTCTTCACTTTACTTTTCTCTGTTGGAAGTGTCTTTATGTGTTCTTTTATCATGTTCCTGGCTTCAGACCAAAACTCTTCTGGTTCATGAGCTATTATTTTTAGTACTGCAAATCTGTTCCTTATATTGTCAATGAATTCTTTGGAAATGTTGTTTAAATCATATTTTGGTATGATGACTGGTTTTGTTCTCGTCTTGAGTTTTACATTTATTTTTGAAATGAGTAGTTTGTGATTTGTGCCACAATCAGTACTTCGTCTAGTCTTGGCCACCAGTATGGAGCTGCTGCCATCACCACCACCACCACCGCTGCCTCTTCTTCTTCTTCTTCTTCTGTCCTATTAATAAAATATTCAAAATTGCTGCAAATCATTTTAAATAACACAGATCCACAGCTTAAGCTGACAATTTAAGAAATGAGACACAAATGGGAAAAGGAGTGAGAAGGGGATTTGGCAGTAAACCTACTGAGGCATTAGCTCAGCATAGAATCCTAGAAATGTAAAGTTGGAATTGACCACAGGAGGTCGGAGTCCCTGCTTAAGGAAGAATCCACAGTTAAAGAATCCCTGACAGATGGCCACCTGACCTCTGTTTAAAAACCTACAACAGAAGGGAGTCCCACCTTTTAAGACAGTGTATTCCACTGTTGAACATCTCTTACCATCAAGACAGTTACTGTTACACAAATGTTTTGGGATTTATTTTATTTTATTTTTTTTGTAAGCTGCTTTATCTGCACAGAGTGTTGTCTGTCAACTAGCAATGAGATAGCATTCACCATGATTGATCATTCTGAGAGCAACCCCTGGATTTGCACAGTCCTCACTCTCTTCTGCTGTGATGCCGTCAAGATGTGTAGTTTCTGCTTCTCTTTCAGATTAACAGGTCCAAAACACACTGCAAAAATAATCCAGTTTGAGACTGCTTTAACTACCCTGGCTCAGTGTTATGGAATTCTGGGAACTGACGTTTTGTGAGACATTTAGCCTTCTCTGTCAGAGAGCTCTGGCACCACCACAAACTACAATTTCCAGGATTCCCTAGCACTGAACCTGAGCAGTTAAAGCGGTCTCGAACTGGATTATTTCTGCAATGTGTTTTGGACCTACAGTTTAGTAGCAATGAGAAGAATATCCAGAGATTCAAGGAAAAAAATGAGGGAGGAGATTCTCAAGAGGCCACAAACCCTGGTGAGAGGAATCCTCCTCAAGCCCCATTTTTCTTTTCCCCAGTCAAGGACTACTCTTGCCCTCCCAGTCGAAATTCATCCTTTTCCTGGATCCCACATAGCAGTGGCTGGTAGGAAGGTGCTGGCATATGTGTGAGGAGGATCACCAACACTCACCTTGAATTCCATTGTGGGATATAGGTGGGTATAAACCCTTGAAATTAAATAAATGAATAAACAGTATAGCCTGTGCACCACAATGATACCATCCTGCAAGATCCCAAAGAGTGCCTGCATCCATGTGCAGTGGCTGAAAAGGGCAATCCTCTTTACTTAGCTGTCCACCTGGCTGTGCAGGTAGAAGGGGTTGTGGGAGAGAGTAGCCAGCCAAGGTTCATCGGTTTAGCTGATGACAGGCGAGCCTCCTCCCTCCGCCTAGCCTTGTGCCTCCTTTGGTGGTAGGGGAACTGAATGAAGAAGATCCCATATCACTGGCCATGATAGCTAGCAATGGGCAAGCCTCCTTGCTTAGCTGCTCCCTCTATCCATTTCCAGTCAGCCACTATACTACACTGCACAATTTTGGAGGATGTTCATGCAGTGGTGAGAAAACTGATTAAATTACTCATTCTCCCCTGAAAGAATGATGAAAATAAGCATGCCCCTCCAGTTTAGCATGTCGAAACTCAAGGATGTAGCTAATGACAATAACACATATTTCATCTATATAAATATTGGTTTGTGGTTGGTTTGTTTCTATTGATTATAATTGAAATTAATCATAATTTTTCTGGTTTGGGTCACTTGCCAAGTTATTGTTAATCTTAAAGGGAAGCAAAATTTTTGCATATTGGTGTGGCCATGCCAAAGAAGCAGTCTAGGAGGGGATTTCTGTGAATTGTTGTAACTCATGCTCTGAGCTATAAAACAAGCTTGCTCCTTCCTTAATATGACATCTTTACAAATGTTTAAATATTTGAAAGGATGTCATATTGAAGAAGAAGCTTGCTTGTTTTCTGCTGCTCCAGAGACATGGAGCAGTGGAATCAAACTACAAGAAAACAGATTCCATCTATATATTAGGAATAATTTTCTGAGGGTAAGAGTTGTTCAATAGTGGAATATGCTCCCTTGTGGAGTGGTGGCATCACCATCTTTGGAAGTTTTTAAACTTCTGTTGGGAGTACTTTGATTGTGTCTTCCTGCATGGCAGGGGGTCAAACTAGATGGCCATGGTAGTCTCTTCCAACTGTTTAATTCTGTGATTCTATGAATGCAGCATTATGATCATGTTTTCCAACTCATTTACTCCTCATTTGGATATAGCTTAGTGCTAGCTCCCACTTGCTGCAAAAAATAATGATTGTCAGTACATTTCTTATACATAATAAATAATGTAATAATTAATCAAATATAGAACTGGGTGAAAAGTGATTGAATGCCGGAGTTGATGGCCTTACTTAGTTTTCCAATGTTTAGGTTTAATTCTGGCACCATACCGAAGCATGGTTTATGCCAGGGACAGTTGGTTTGTCTCTTATATGCTCTGGGGCTTAGTATGAAATGTAAAGGAGCTATCCAAGATGCTGAGCCTATTTGGGAGGTAGAGTTCAACACTTTGGATAGAGCTCTTAAAGTATGAACTGAAACCCAAAGCAGATTCACTGCTTCATGAACAAAGAAGCCATTAGCTACCAGATGTTTGTGCTTATCATAATTAAGATCACACCATGGTTTGAACTTCCAGATGTACAGCAGGCAAACCTTACCTTGGATCTGCTTGTCTCTATCCATTTTCTGCCTCCTAGAGCATTTAGTGCCAGTGTGGCATAGTGGTTTGGGTGTTGAACTATGACTCTGGAGACCAGGATTCGATTCCTGCTTGACCATGAAACTCAGTGCGTAACATTGGGCAAGTCACATGCTCTCAGCCTCAAGGGAAGGCAATGGCAAATGTTGTCATAAATGTTGCACATAAAACCCTACGATAGGCCTTAAGGTCATCATGAGTCAGAAACATGTCTTATGCCTTATGTGAAGGCATATAACACACATACAGACACATTAACATAATATCCCACACTGTTTTTAAGGTAAACCCTTCATGCTAGTCCCACTGGCAGAAGTCACACAGTGGTCTCACAACAATATCTTAACATTTAGCACTGAGTTGTTGAAGCTGTTGGAGAGAGGAGAGAATGTTTTCTAAATGTATCCTGGAGCAAGTATTGCTAAGCTGTTGGGAAATCCCTATACTTGTTTTCAGGTGTAATGTGTTGCATTGCAGATGTTCTGCACAGCACCGTAGCTTTGCTGCAATGCAGTGTGCTTTGCAACTGAGCCTGAGAACTTCCTTCTGGTAGCCACTCTGCAGAAATGTCCCAAAGGCAGAGATGGTGTGTATCAAGACAGCTTCAGGATTTCTCTGCTTAAAAAGAGGGTTGCAAATTAAATAATTCAGTTGCAAGCATGTTAAATGATTTTTTCTACCATTTAGTCTTGAAGGATTGCTTTAAAGCAGTATTTTAAATAGGCTTGTTCCTGTATTAAAAAGAAGCATAAAAAGGAAGCATTTGAAATTCCTCCCAAATTAAAGTAACGTATCTGAGGTAATATGTCTGACAAGCTGTATCATTATGCTCATTGGTTTCAAGCACAGAGTACAACCAAAATGATACTATGAACACTATGGTTAACCATGGTAATTTGAACATGCAAAGGGAACTTGTAACATCTTTGAGACTGAGCAAAAGAAGTATGGAGTTAACTGGTGCCATAAGGACCTTTATAAACAGACTGTATGAATAGTCCCAGAAATGCAGAACTTGTGGGTATGGTGATGAGGTGAACAGTTCAGTTTTAACTATGGTTGTTGGGGGACAAAGACAGGAGAAAATATGTTGCCTTGAGGCCAGGATGGATGAATAACCATATGAATTGTGGAGGGAGATTTGGAATGTGGTGTATACAGACTGGGAACCAGAAAGGAGATATGATAAATTGATCAAGAGCATCATCATCATCCTCATCCTCATCCTCATCATCATCATCATTTATTTGTATAGGGCCATAAATTTACCAGTGTTTTAACATGTGTAGTGTGCCAGGAAGCCATTGTCTTTATTTACGGCTTGGAGTTAATAACATTTATTTATAAAGCCCTTTTCCCCAAAGGGTGGAACATCAGATGTATATAATAAAAAAGAACGATAAAACAGTGTTTGTGGGTATATTCCAAATCATCTCTTTCTCTTTCCAATCTTCTTTGTAGATTGTTGTTGTTGTTGTTGCTGTCATTGTCATTCAAGGACCATTGTCCTGAGACTAGAGATGGAGTGCCCAGGAATACTGACGTGTTCTGCAATAGGTTTTGTGTATTTCAGTTTCTAATATCTGGTTTATGTCAATTTATTCTCTGTCACAGAGACTGGCCTGTTTGCCCAATGTAGAATGCTAAAGGGCATTGTTGAGAGAGGATGGCATATATCACATTAGAGGATGAGCAAGTGAAATTGCCTCTTATATTATGGATTATGTGATTAGGTCCTGTGATGACATGTCCCCAGTAGATATGTGGGCAGAGTTGGCATCTGGGTTTGTGGCAAGATTTTGTACCTCTCTTCCCATCTGTGTTGTGCCTCTTCTTCTAAGAAGTAACTGTTCAATACTGGGAGGCTGTCTGCGGGCAAATAAAGGCCTACCACCAAGAGCTTTTGAGAGGGCAGCATTATTGTCCAAAATAGATTGTAGTTTGGGGATGATACGTTTTAGTGGTCTCAACTGAGAGCTGTATGTGACCACTAGTGGGTTCTTTAATTTCCTGTCTTCATTCTTCTGTTTTGAACACCAGTTCACTCCATGCATCTGAGGAAATAAATCAAGTCTATGAAGGCTTATGCTACAATTTCTTTTGCTCAGTTAATTGCAAAGGTGCTACAAGATCCCTTTGCATACTGATATTCCGGGCTAACATGGCTATGTCTCTGAATTCTGCTCCATGATAAGCTGACAAATTATATATCCCACCCCCCATCATTTCTTGTCTAATTAGTACATGTTGATGTACATTTTTAAAATAGATTTTGGGATATTGAATGACATTCAATAGCTTTTGCCAAATAGCTTTTGTCAAGGCTAATTCATGAAGACCAAGCAGGTTTTTTACCCAAAAGGCAATTAAAGGATAACATTAGAACAACTTTAGATATCTTGGAATTATATGATAAAGATAAATAAAAAAAATTAGGTATGTTATTCCTTGACTTAGAAGAAGCCTTTGACAACGTGAATTGGGATTTCTTAGATCTATTATTAAAAGAAACAGGAATAACAGGAAAATTCCTTAATGGAATTCGGCAGATATATAATATACAAAAAACACAAATCTTAGTAAATGGAGAAAAAACAGAAACTTGTAATATAAGGAAAGGAACACGACAAGGCTGTCCCCTATCCCCTCTCCTCTTTATTATGGTCATGGAGGTATTAAACGCGAAAATAAGAAACAACAAAAAGATATATTCGCCTGAAATCAACAACCACCAGTACAAACTCAGGTCATTTGCTGACGACATTGTAATATTCTTAAATGAACCTGCTAAAAGTATAAAACATCTAGAAGAAATACTAGAAGAATTCAAGGAAATGTCAGGACTTAAAGTCAATAAAACTAAAAGTGGAATTATTACAAAAAATCTAACAAAAGAGGAAGAAGAAATGCTTACAAGACAATCTGGATATCAAATACTCAATAAGGTAAGATACTTGGGAATAATAATCACAAAAAAGAACACAGATTTGTATAAAAATAATTATGAAGCAGTATGGAAGAAAATTAAAAAAGATCTAGAAGAATGGGGGAAAAAACAACTTTCCTTATTAGGGAGAATAGCATCAGTTCAGATGAATGTGTTACCAAAGATGTTATTTTTGTTTCAAGCAATTCCTATTCGATTAACTAAATATAATTTTCGCAAATGGAACAGGGATATAAACAAATTTATATGGAAGGGAAAGAAACCCAGAATACAATCTAAAATATTAAAAGATAGAAAAGAAAGAGGTGGACTGGGTTTACCGGACTTAGAATTATATTATAAGGCATGCTCATTGCTATGGATAAAAGACTGGATATTGCTTAACAATACAAAATTACTAGAGCTAGAAGGGATTGGAAAATCGTTGGGATGGCATTCATATTTATGTTATGAAGAAACCCCTGTAGATGAAAGCTTCAATTTACACCCCATTCGAAAAAACCTATTAAAAATATGGAAAGAATACAAAAAATACTGGTATAAAAAACTACCACAATGGACTTCTGCACAAGAAGCTTTCCATAGCAAAGAAATAACAGGTCAGGACAAATGGATAACTTATGAGAATATACTTCAAAAATCTGAACAAGGATATAGGATAAAATCTAGAGAAGAGTTACAGCTGGGAAAAATTAACATGAATTGGTTAAAATATTTGCAATTAAAAGAGGACTTTAAAAGGGATACCAAAAAATATGGAATAGAAGAAAAAACAAATACGTTTGATAAAATCTTGAAAGAAGGAGAAAAACAATGGATAAAAAAGATGTACAAATGTTTATTAGATATTAAAACAGAAGAAGAAGTAATATAACAAAGCATGATTAAATGGATGCAAGAAATAGGTCGCACAATTACACTACAAAACTGGGAAAATACGTGGAAACATTGTAATAAATTTACGAAGTGTAATACTCTAAAAGAAAATTACCACAAAATATTTCATCAATGGTATATGACACCGGCAAAGTTAGCAAAAATAAAAGGCAATAAAGAGAATAAATGTTGGCATTGTAAAAAAAGAAATAGGTACAATGTTTCACATGTGGTGGACGTGTGACCGAAGCTATACATTCTGGGGAAAAAAAGGGATATAATGTCAGAAATTTTACAGAAATGTCTACCATTTAAACCAGAATTGTACTTGTTAAATATAACTGATGTGATAGTTGATAAATTAAATAGTGACGAGATAAGTGTAATATTATATATGGTTACTGCGGCACGTATTGTCATAGCAAAACACTGGAAATCAAATGAAATACCTAAAGTAAGTGAGTGGCGGATGAAATTACATGAATTTATGATTATGGACAAGTTATCAATGTATACGGCAGACAAGACGATTCAACAATATGAAAAAAAATGGGAAATAGTACAAAAAAAACTATTTACAAAGTGACAAGGACTAAATATCTATAATTTACTGATTGTTAATGATAAGGAAGATAAAGGATAATTGATACTTTATGATACTTGATTTCGCCTGCAAAAGTCATGATGTTTATAAGGTACTGTAACAGAGTAATAGACAAAGCGATGTAATATGGAAAAAATGAAATAAAAATGATATATAAAAAAATAGCTTTTGCCACTTTTTTACAGATTTATAATGGTTTAGTTCATATGCAGCAACTAATTGCTATGGGCCCAACCTCACCTGACCATCATGAGAACATTTCTGCCTCCCTTCTCACACAATGGGAGGATAGCTAAATGTCCATTTCTGGTTTATTCTAAATTACAAGTTTCTAATTTTGTCTAGGGCCTCACAAATAAATAATCCAGGATACCAAACCAGGATTAGATGGATCCATGCCTTATTGCTTCCTCTGAACAGGGCTTTTGTTAGTTTTCTGTTTGGGAATTTCTTATTTTTATTTTTTGTGAGGTGGATTCAGGCTGTGACAATTTGATATTTCAAAAGTCCTAGCATTAATATGGTGAGTTGGGTTTTCATTAGTGTTCCAATAATACTATCATTGGATGTCTCAACCCTCCATTTAAAAATATGGCATTGTCTATAAAATGCAGTGCTAGAGAGAGGAAATAATAAGCGAAGAAAACCAAA